AGCTTTTTAGATTTCATGAATCACTTTCCAACTCAAGACATCCCTCAACAAGCACCACCAAAGAAAACACACAGGAGGTGTTCTCATCTCTTCCTGGGTTTTGAGTCCCAACAGGAGCTGGACTTTCTAAGTCAGTATCCATCCACCTGACTTAACTCTGAATTTCCATCACTCTGTTTCCACATTATCCTCCAGTCTACAGGGAAATAAACAGTCCCCTCAGACTTCCAGAGGCAAACGCCTCATAAAGGTAAAGACAACCCCACTTCTTTTTTCCTTAAATATACTAGGAGTCCATATAACTATTTCATCTGTAGTGGGTATGTGAGAGGAATTACTCTTTTTCATGGGAACAATGATCCGCTGCAAATGTCTGAGGAGCTGGGACCACCCAACAAACACTAAACATCAGATTTGTGATTCAGTGTCAGAATCAGGCAACCCCAGACACGAGCAAAGACAGAATTTCTTCATGTTACATCTTCTACTGAATTAATCTGGCACTGTTCCCAGACTTGTTAATTCACTTTTTGCTTTTAATTAAGTAGTCAAACTTCACTAAGAACAACCCACTGAAGAAAGCCAAGTTTTGTGAACATTCACAGAAAGCAAGATTATTATTTTTAATTCTGATGAGTACTCATTCTTCTCACAATCTGTGTTTAATAGATGTACTCATTGTTCAGTGTGGTAAATAGATGTACTCACAAAAAGCTTTGAGGAACAAAGACATTCTCTAAATTGGTTTGATTAAAACAGTAGGTATCTGAATGCCCACCTATCTTTGAAGAACAGAAAATGATAATGTCTGAGTGGTTCCCTTCTTTACAATTTCATGCTCACTTGCCATTCTCTAAAGCCTGAATATTCCCTATGTGCAAGAATCACGTTCTGGATTTTTGCTTTCACTAACTTTGATAATCCATCTTCAGCTCAAGGCATCCAAGAAGAGACTGGCACAACACAACCACAGACCACATGCAGCCCTCAAAGCCATTTGCTTGATGTGCCAGCAGCCTGAGGACGATACCTGATGCTTGGCCACCTGGAGACACATCCAAGAAAAAGAGATCCAGCTTCAGAGAGCAGACATCTGCCAAAGCCACATCCATCTGTCCACAACACATCTAAATGTCTCCTAGAGCAAGTGAATTGGGAAGATGAGCAAGACTGATGAAAGAAACAAAGGAAAAGTGGGAGACTAGTAGAAGATACGGAACATACAGGGAAGGTAAAAGGAGTCATTGAACTGCGTAGGGCACCAGTGGTGGTACATTAGAGAAGGTGCTGACAGCAAAGATCGGAGCATCCCACTCACACATTTTGCTATTGACATAAACAGAACATCTGGTTTTATTTAAAACCTTCCTCACAGAAATGAACTAAAAAGCTTTCACTGCAACACAACACCATACAAGACAGACAAGACAGTCTAGAGTCTCCATCTCATTTGGATTTGACGGTACTTAAGTCAGGAGTTCTCTAAACCCCACTAAGTTTCACATTTCGCCCTGTGGGTTTTGCTTCAGATATGGGCAGTCTTAGAAAACCACAGTTATGGCACCAGCAACCTGAAGACCTCAGATGCCTAACTAAGACCAATTAAAGTCCATGAGTCAGTCTCAGGGGAATCAGAGCTACTTGGCATGCACCCAGAAAAGGTCAATTGGAGCCCTGGAGACTATTTCTAAATACCCCAGAGCTTTGCCACTGAGAAAAATAAATAGAACTATGTATCTTGTTTCCACATCTTAGCTGGCTGAATAAATAGCTCTGATAGCGCACTCTCCAGGGCAGATTCTTAAAGTGACATTGGTTCTACTGCCCAGGACAGGAGAACACGGGTGCAGCCACAAGAGAAGAAGTGCATTTTCAATGCGGCATTCCTGGCAGCTGATCAAAGAACACGGATTATCTCTGCCCCCACAGTTGCCAGCTGTTCCTTCCCAGCAGCAAGGCAAATCATGGGGTATGTGGTTATGGAGAAAAGTTATCAAGGGCAAATACAAAGGGAGGATCAGAGACTTGCAAGGAGGACATCGCAAGATTTCCTCTGTAGGCAGGTTACAGGCTAGGATTCTCTTTAAGTTCCATACCAGCAGCCAAAAAAGCAGCATATGCTTTTGTGTCCAACTCACTACACCAAAATAACTTCCCCTAGATTTCCACACAGGGACTTTGGGAGGAGCTGTGCAATCTGAGTCAGATGACCAACAACACAACGCAGAACTAGACAAAGCATGTGACTCCCTTTTTCTCAGCATCTCAAAAAGTCCATCCATGAAGTCCCTTGCAGAGTAACCCTACAATTTTCTTTAATTAGATCTACTTAAAAAATAGACGGGCATTTTACACGTACCTCCATTTTCTGATGAACTTGAAACTGCCTTCTGTTTTCAAACCATAGTTATCCCAGGTATTTGTTGATGCTGGGAAAGATCTGCAACCCATTTGCAGTCTAGACTTTCAGTCTCAGGACCTATATTCTTGCCAGCAATAGTGCTTGTTGGGGAAAACAGCCTCAAGAACACTACACCCAAAAAGACTGCAAACAAACACAACCCCTATTAATGAATTAGAAACTAGAGCCTTTAAATAGGTTGCAATTGCTTTTTAAAACAAAACAGGCTTTCATGCTTCTTCTGATGTGAAATAGTCTGTCTCTACTGAGCCATTGACCTTCTCAGCTGCTCCTTTTTATTAAATGAAACAAGCAAGTTAGAGCTCTAGGTGGGCCAGCTGAATCACAGAATGACAAAATGGCTTGGGTCGGATGGGACCTCAAGGATCTTCAAGTTTCAACCTCCTGCCACAGGCAGGGTTGCCAGCCACCAGATGAAGTATTAAATCAGGTAGGTTGTAGGACAGATTTTATCTTCCACCTTCATACTCATGGAAATACATTGCGCAAAGAGCCCACATATATTAGCAGAAAAAGGAAATTAGGAAACTGAACTAGCAGTAAGATAGACACCAAGACCTTTTTGTCCAATGGAAAATAAATCCTAGCTTGTCAGCAAAACTGCTGTTTTATTAACGGAAATTCTGAGACTTTGTTTTCTGCTTCTCTCCCATAATATCCCTTCCAAAAAAAAGAAAAATCTAAGAATTAAGAGAATTTTTACAGGAGTTGAGAGGAAGCAAAACCCAAAGTCTGCTAGTTGTCTGTGCTTTTGAATGGATCTCAGAAAAAAGCTGGGCTAGGAATGTTTAACAAACCAAGCTCTCCATTTCCCTCAGAGGAAGCCACAAATGGAAGCTTTGCACAAAATTCTTGTGCTCTCAAGCAACCAGTCCCCTTGTATAACAAAGAACTAGAGAAAAAAAAGTCCCACTGCACTCAGATCTTGACCTATGAGACAGACAAGTAGTACTAACGTTAGTCTAATTGCAACCAGTGCCTCAGGAAAACAAAAGGAAACTAGGGAATTGGGTGGAATTTCCTTAGTTAAGATAATGGACTCATCAATCCCTTTTGGTTGCCTCAGAAGTCAAGTCCAACTCTGGAACTAACTTATTTTGAGCCCTACTGTCATAAAACAGTTCTCTAGACTTTCTGAGGCCTAAGGAGATTCCTGGAGGGTACTAAGATATCCTAGGAATAACACCATAGCAATAATATTCTTGGAGTTGAGTGATATCCAAGTCCCCATGCTGGAAACACACTGGATCATGTCATATTTTTGGAGTGATGGTGCAGAGAAAACTGACACTGTGAAGCAGTTCCAGGTACACAGCACTACAGTAGAAAGCCAATAATGCAGACAAAAATGAGTTGGCTTCCAATAACAAGGCAGCTGTGGGAAGTTGTGCATCTGCTGGGCCTATTTGATAAGACAAAGTGCTCAAATTTTTATAACCCCAGATACATAGGTAGAAGAACTGGAAAAAGGCTGCATTAGCAAACAAAAGTACTACATGTTGATTGCAAGTTAATCAATTGGATCTAGGAAAATAATTCCTTCCTTTGTAGTGTACTGTGTAACTGGCCATACTGGGAGAACTGGTATTAATCTGTCACAACAGCATCTGAAAGGACACGGTTTATTGCAGCCCCCATCCAGGGTGACTGGCCCACACTCCTATTACAACTATACATAAAATGATCAGATTATTGTGCCACATTTGTCTTTCCACCTCTCACCCACACATCACACCCAACCTAAAGCTCCTTCTTCAGTAACCACCATCCACAAACTGCACCCGTGTTGAGTCTGTACAGAAGTTAGGCTTGACTGAATATTGCTAAGGCACTGATGAACAAGTAGGAACAACGTGCTCCAAAAAGCAGAGCATGTCTAAGGGAGAGAACCAGCAGGTTCTGTGTTGCTTAAGCAAATGTGTGGGCAGAGGTCATAGCAGTAAGTTCTGCCTTCTGTTTGCAGTGAACAAACCACATGTTATGTCCTTCAGTGGATGCTCATCTTCTGTACTACCTTGAAATGCATATGAGGCACTGCCAGAATGGAAAGGTTCACACACAGGCAGAAAATTGATTTCTCCTCAGCAAATTTGAAATATTTAGAATGGGCTTCAAAACAGACCTAGGTTAACATTAGCTAGAACTGTTATTCTTCAAAAATACTGAAATGATTTGGTCACAACTCTTTGCAGAAGGAAAAAGACAGACCTGCCACAATTCCACTGAGCCTGCCCCAGGCCAGTGGTGACGGGAGGCTCTTGCTAAGGGGTGGGCAGGAGCAGTCTGTCTGCTGCTTGGATGTGCTTCTCAAAATCCAGTCCTGACTGGAAACTGAAGGATGATACCTTGTAATCAAACTGCCATCGCTACAAGTAAACGGCCACCAGCATGAATCATATGATGAATCACAGCATAAGCGTGTCCTTCAGGGAACTATTTCTGCCTCTTAAAAAATCTGCAGATTTAAAGTGAATGGAAATTGTGCATCGATTTCTGATTTCTTTGCCTTTTCAAGTGGAACCAAAATTTTATTTCTTGCTGGCCTGGAAAGATGAGTTCCCTTTGGGCTAGTGCCTACCTTACAGTCCTGACATGCTGCTTGCTGTAGGGGGTGATGACTTTGAAAAGCAGCTCCATGGCTCCATTGATGCCAAGCGTGGTTCCTGCAGCAACTAAACCAGTAAAAGAGAAAAGCAGTCAGGTCTGAAGCAGGCAGTCTGCAATGATGTGTTTAGAGCTGGTGCAGGGAAGTGACTTGCTGCCCCTGAAGCTATGAGCAGATTTCTATGGGCTCCCAATTGTCCTAAACAGATCATTTTACAAACAGAGGAACAGCAGCACAGAGCTGGCAATGGACACACCTTTACACAGAGTCATACCAAAACCAGTTCTCAAATCCTGTGCTTCTCCCCTAAGCTTCCCACAGCTCCTTTCCCTGTGAATATTGTACTCTCGAGAGAACAAATCACAATCAAATACAGTCAGGAAAATGACAGGGCTCAAATTCTTCTTATATTTGCCAGAAGCAGCTGCGTGAGGATGGCTTATTTCACAGAGGCATGATGGAGGGTCAAGTTTACTTCTATTTGTGCTTTTACTCAGCAGTTTGGAAGTGTATTTTTGGGAGGGGTGCTTCTGAGTACATCTTAATTTCAGCTACCTTTAATCCTTCACTTGATAGCACACGTGGGGAGCATTTATAGACAGTTCTGGCAATCCAATTCTAAAAATGCCCAATGAAGACTCCAGTTGTTTATTGGGCCACAAAGACCAGAGTCAAAAATACTCAGACAAGATGGAAGCATAGCTGGGCTGAAGGCACCTGAAGAGCAACAGAGCTGTCCCAACAAAATCGTATAGGATAGATTTTGAGGTAGGGTGAGGGGCTTGACATGAACGGAAAGGAGGCCAGGCTGCAGCATGCATCCTGCAACCTCTGTAACATCTGCAGCTGAAATGGGATGCAGGTGCACTGAAGCAGAGCAGTGATTGGTGGAGATTATCATTTTGGGTGGGAGGCAACACAGGGTCATTACACAGCTGTGAAACTCAAATAAAGGCACGTTTCAGCTTCTGGCCTTGGCTGCATTTTCAGTCAGACTTGGTCTTTCAAATGCTGCTCATAGCAGGGAGAAGGGTTGAATGTTGAGGTTTGGCTGCTTGCCTGAGAAAGCCCATTGCATGAAACTAGCTCCTGTACAGCTAGAAGGGACCTGCAGGGCTGGGAGCCAGGAATGCTAAATCTTAGGATGCGTGTAGCAGACTGCAGGCAGGATGGCTGTCAAGAATTATCTGCTGGGTGAGGAAAGAAGGGAGGAAAAAGAAATGGTTGGAGTGAGCAAAGGGAAACATGTGCTGACAAACTCAGTGCTCCACAGCATGGAAAACCTGTATGAATCTGTAGGGATCCTTAGGGGTAATACCAGGAATCCCATTGCTTGAATTGCTTAATATGAGGGACAGCCATGCAAGACAAGGGAAGGAACACTAAGACAGGAGAGGAGACCAAGCATTAAGTTCCCAGTTCTAATATGTACTTCCTGAAGGACCCTGAATAAGTGATTTCTCTCTGCCTCTTACCTCTGTTGCTTCAACTGCATTACCCTACCCTGTACAGCTGCTCTGAAGATCAATACAATCAACAACGTGAAACACTTGGTTATTATGATTACAGAAACTGCATAGCAACTTAAGGTACCTAAGCCCCAACAAAGGAGTTGGCTGTATGTATTATGGTATAGGAGACCACTGACATAAATACTTTCACATTCATGTGTATTTTCCACTTATATTTTCATAGACCACAGATGAAATACTTTGTAAAGGCTGTATAGACACTTCAGGGAATATTTCTTTCTAGGGTTATTCTGGATTTTTGTGTCCAATTCTGTACATTAACAGTGCATGCAGACACTTGTTCTAAATAGAAATGTTTATTTGCACTGAAGTGACTAAAAAGAGCTCTATTAATTGCCATGCTGAGGAAGAGGAAAACCTAGGTACTCACCATTAGAAGCACAAACCCGCAGGACCCAGAGGCAGTGGGTGAGGTTCAGGTGGTGACCCAGGTTTTGCTTTGTTAAGCTCAGGATCACATCAGTTGCTTCTGCTTTCTGCACTTTAATCCCAAACTTCCGGTCTGTGAAACACAAAGCAGAATCAAAATTATTGTAAAGACCAAGTATCTGCAGAAGTACGGACAAACAGACTTGGACGAAATCTCATAAGTGGGGATTCCATTAAAAATTCGTTTAAGTGTACCAGTGAGTTAGATCACTGTCATTTTCAGTGTAACACGCAAATAAGAGAACATCAAAATTACCTAGAGTCACCATATACAAAGAGAAACCATTTTATGATTTCACTTAGGTTAAGAGAATCAAAAGTAAATTTCTGCTAAGGGGGAACTTCCCAGCTAGTAGTTCAGCCCAAGGCAGGATGTGTGTGTGATTACACCCTCCCCATCTTTTTGCAAGACCTCCTACTGGCCAAACTGTAGATGACTGTAGTATTTCCAAAGTAGAGCAACCCAAGAGTAAACTCAAAACACTAACAGGCACATCTCAGTGCTGATTATTGCTGGGACTGTCTGTTAGTTTTAAGCCCACTCTCCAGACCCCAAACATCCCACTGTGCAGCAGTACCTTGTTGGCCAACCCTGGCCAGAAGGCGAAGGAGAGGCAGGAGGATGCTGGGGTCGGGTGGCTTGGTCCGGGCAGCAGAGATGAGGGCCTGCAGCAGTGCCTCACTACCCCCTTTGCTGATCACATAGTGAATTCTTCGTCCAGTCCCTGGGGAAAAGGGGGCAAAAAGAAAGGCTTTGCTCAGACCATCCTCATCCCACACAGTGCAGTGTTAACTTTCAACCTGCACCATGCACACAGTGCTCCCATGGCCTTCTCGAGTTGTTTTATTGCCATAAACTCCAGATCATTTGCAGAGTTGACCTCTTGATTGCCCCCAGACTGGAGACACTGCTAATAGTGATGCGAAAAAAGGATGCTCTCTTCTCATCTCGCTTCAGCAGTCATTACCTTCACAAAACCACTGCAGAGGTTTTTCATTGTGCATTGAAATGCAGCACAGAGGAATAAACAGAAGCACCAACAGATTTCAAAGAGGCAGAAGGCTCAGTGATCTTTTCTTAGATATTGGAAATTAGACCAGCAAAAAAAAAAAAAAAAAAGAATATCCAACAAGAATCTGCCAAATGAAAACGAATCCTGGGGAAGCTTTGGAGACATTTTTCAGTCAAATCTAGGTCTTCAAAGAAACCAGAAACTAATCCTGCGAGCCCTACCATGTCAACAAACAGGAGTCCATGGTCACCTTTGGCAGCTGAACCAACTCTCCTTGGTTGGAATAAGCTGCACGTTCAGCCCTCAGAGTACCTGGAAGGGAAGATGCCTCTCCTGCTCCCCCAGTAGGCAGTCCTTCCATCTAATGAAGAATGATCCAAGGAGAAGCTTAGCTGGACATGCAATGTCTGTCATGGGACTGTGAGGACTGGGGAATGCAGGAGCCTCCAGTACTTACTGATGTGGCCCAGTAGCTCAGTTGGGTTGAGAATTACTGAGCAAATAATATTTCTGAGGTGGAGTGCCAGGGAAAATACATTTAATTTTTTTTTTTCCAGTTTTTTTTTTTGCCAATTCACTTATTTGTTTATGTGGCTCAGCACACATAGCAACACGTCATCCTTGCAGCCCTGAGGTGGAGGTCCTCAACTCCCTCTCCTATAAAGTATTTGTGGTTTGGGAAGTCAGGTTCCTCTCTTTGTCTCACAGCCTCCCCCACCCCCCAACAGCACAGGTGAATATTTCCAGTGGCTGACTACTAAGAATTAGGAAAATCCTGTCCTTAGCCTGCAGGCATCGCCCCAGCTATGCTTCCTTACCCAGAGAGAGCAGGTCAGTGAGGACACTGAGGATATTCAGGAGAACATCCTTGTCACAGGAGCTCTGAAACGGAAACACAACAATTTTAGTGTTGAATTCAAAACAGTGAATTTCATACTACATCAGGCTGCAGTGCCTCATGTGGTGCAGACGCACTGCAATCCTTGTTTGGATACTGAGTGCTCTTTGTGCCATCTGGCCAGCAAATACGTGCAGCCATATTGATAACACATTCTAAAAGCCTCTGACAGACACAGCGATCCTACCACGCAATATTTAATACACAGTAGCATTTCTGCAGTGTTTACATCTTAATTCTAAATTACATCTCTTTCTTTGGATCAGTCTGGTTACCTCAAAGCTGAGGAAATTAACCCGGCAACGTGTTGTCATTTTCAATAAGAAGATCTGTTATTACAGCAGATGGAAAAGAATATCTATAAACCATATCAATCTCCTTCACAAGAAAATCACCCTGTCTCTGCAGCTTTACAGCTACAACCACATGGAAGTCCGGAGGCTGATGAGCAGAAAAATACCCAAAACTTATTTTTAGTCACGACTGAGCAAGCACCACACCCTGACATCACACTTTCTGCTTTAGATTGACCCTACATTTTCCTCTAGAGGAAATGAGATACAGCATGCTTGTGGAGAAGGAAACACATGCTATCTACCATCCATCTGCGTGATACGTTGCAGCCCTTACTTGAATCCTGCTCCATCCAGATTTCTTTGCTAAGATCAAAATCTCATCAGTCTGTATTGTTATATGAGAGAGCTGGGTTAAGTACTAGATCTCTTAATAACTGTACAAATACAACACAGTAAGAATTTCCAGTATAACAGCAAACTTGCCTTTCGGTAGCCTTGGTTATGAATAACCTTAGTTATTTCACATAAACTAGAGCAGGATCACTTTATCACCCACTAAGTTATTAAAATAGAATAACATCTTACACATATACAGCTCTTGAATGTTGAAGTGCTTCAGAAATTAAACCTGCTAGTACCCATTCTGCATATATGTGGTCATTTTACCAGCCAAAATGACTTAACCATTCTCTGATGTACTTAACATTACGTAACTGAATATATAAGGCAAGAAATCAAGAAGTAACACCTAGCAAAAAGGAATTTCAGAAAGAACATAAAGCAAATCTGTATAAGTCAGATCTGTAACGATGACTGTTATTAATGCAGATGGACAACTTATTTCCAGTGGCTCCCAGCTAAAGTGACAGCTCAAACTGAAACAGTCCTGAGGATGGTGCAGCTAATTAAGCGGCTCTGTATTGTACCCTTTTGCTGTTGCAGTGGGGGAAGGTGTGTTCAGTGAGATCTGGGAATGAAGAAGGGAAACAGGTCAGCTTTCACAGTTAAGACTGTCAGCCAGAGATCCCACTTGTGTCACAGAACTGCTATGGGATGCTCAGAAGCTCCCTCCAACCAAACTTCCAGAAGAGTCACTATGATGGCACTGCCGGTTCTTTCCCAGCCAAGACAAGCTATTTGACTTCAATGAAATACAATAACTCACGGTTCTCCATTACAACTCTCACCTTCGAGAGGATGTCCAAATTCACAGTACTGGCTCAAGGGAGTGCACAGAAAGGAAGGGCTGCAGCAAGGTTACTGCAGCTCTGAATACTGCTACTTCTTGGTAACGGATAGTTTCAGTGATAGGTTAACAGTGATGCCTTTGTTCATGAGTCCAGTCTTAAACTGTCTCAAGTCTCCCAATACATTCAGAGGAAATAAATAGTGATGAGAGCTCTCTTCCTGAATTTCTTGGTATTTTTTAAGCATGGGGACTCAGTAGTCAGGAGCAGGCTGTCAGGGGTGATGAGTACCCACCAAATTTACAGACTCCAGGAAGAGTTACAGTTCTCAGCACCTTTTTTAAATATCAGCCCTCTAGTTTTGTCTTGCTGCCTCTCAGTATCCTTTTCCTATGTAGGTGGATGGATTACACATTAAGGTTTCAGTAATGAAGTCTTCATTGATTTATGCTCCTATTACACTGGGCTGTTTATTTTAACTGATTGGATTGTGGGTTTCCTAAGCCATTAACACAAATAGTGATGACATAAGATATCCTCTGAATTTCCATGCACTTTATCCAGGGGCTCAGATGAACAAAGAACTCGAGGGGACATGAAAGATCAGCCTTTAAAATGTGCAAATTAGAGCTGGGTTATATTGCCAAATATTTTATCTGAGTATTTATTCTTGGTATTTTAATATTAAAATTCTGATAGGATTGGTGCCTCATCATCCCCCTTCCTCCAGTGCACCAGTGAGGGAATTGGATGGTTGTGTTTGCTGAAACAGTAGATAAAGCCCTGGGTGCATTAGAAAAATGTATTTCCTGCAAACCTCAGTGGCAAAGATTTCAACCACTGAATAACACAGAAGTCCACAGCTCCAATTAATAATAGCCAGACAATTAAAAAAAATTGAAATAACTCTAAAGTTGCTGTTGTCTTACAAGATGCCTTTTGAATAGAGACTGCTCAGATTTCGACTAATTAGCTTGCGATGCTCGAAATTAAAGATATTTGGACACTGAGTTCTACTAGAATTAATTGCTGAAATTAATGCTTATACCAAACTGTTTGTGGAAGGGTTGCCAACAAAGTCATTCATGAAAAAGGTTTTGGGAAATCTTTTTGAATAGTAAGAACATTGAGAAAGTCACAACTTGTGCCTGATCTAAGAAAGATGAATAGGGTAATTTCTTTAATGCAAATTACTTATCCAGCTCTGGTTAAAATAAACACATTAGTTATTTTTATTGAAAGATACGCCTGATGTTTCAAAAAAAAAAAAAAATGTTAAGCAAAGAGAGAAGTGAAATTCCTCCTGCTAAATATTTTCCATTCCTGCAGCACTTGTGGATGTTACCTACAATATCTGTATCTGTACACACACAGACTAATGAAGATGCATTTATGGTACACGGGTGGAATGTGAACAGAGGCTCAAGTTAGATTACAAAAATCACCAACCTCCTGCAGGATTTCACTAAAAGGATTTAGAATTAGAGACAAATTGTTACCTATTAACAACAGGCCGTAGCTGCCTTCACAGCTTGCAGCTGGACAAGGGCTAAAGGAACAAAAAGCATCACTTAAAAATCAAGCATGGCTTTACTTTTTGGCCAGAGCCTCTCATCCTAGCCTCACTTCAGCAAAGCCTGCTGTCTTTCTCACCCAACTGGGAGTATCATGGGGCTGACTTGAGAGGTATTTAATCAGCTCCCAGCTGATCATTTTCCTCTGAGCTTTTTCTGGGAATTAATCCCTGAAACACCAGGGCTTTGGTTAGCTTGGCTAAAGCTCCTCATGCATAAGCAGCAGGAGGATGGAGAAAGCTAAGAATAAGAAATACCACAGCATGTGGTCACTGACATACAGGCAGTAAGGGATTGTTACATTGGGTTTGGAGAGCAGCTTGATCCTAAGATCCTTCTGACCAACAGCTCAGGTTATTCAGCTGACCTGGGAATAATACCCAGGGAAGGAGTTCCTGTGTGCTCGTCCTGGGGAATGTGCCAGGACAAGTTGTTATTCACTTAAGACAAGATTATAAAATCACAACCAAGTCACTGAAACAGGTAATCTCATTTTAGCAGGGAAAGACTCCAGGAATTTTTTCCTACAGGCTTTGAAGAGCCACCAGAGATCATTTTTCCTGTCCCACCTGAAGGACAGCAGCTATCAGCTCAGTACCCACGTTAGCAATGGCCTAAAATGAAAGCTTCAGTCACTTCTGCGTCTCTAGAGCTTTCATAGCTTTTGCCCACAGGCAAGTATTCCTCCAAATGAAACATGCAAATTACAGAGAGCATTTACTGTGAGTGTAAGCATTATTGTTACAAAAAAAAAAAAAAAAAGAGAATGCCTGGAAAGAAATCATACAGCATTAATTTGTGCAGCACGATGTTTGCTAATAAATATTTTATTGGGGGGGAGAAGGAAATACGAGGCTGTTATTCCACCCACAATTATTATAAATGCAGAATTAAAGAAGTCACTCCTGCAAGGCAACAGGTAGCGTGTTTTCTGACAGCACTCCTATTAAATTAATTGTTGGATATGTTGTGTGACCACTTAGGGGGAAAAAAAGTCTGTTCTAACCAGCTTCCAGAGTGTTTTTTTTTTTTTTTTTACATAGGCTGAGGAATAGGATGTCCAGTTCCAGGTTCTATTTGTTCGCTTGTTTTAAAATAACGTGTTCCTAAACAGGGAAGCAGAATTTGATACATTCAAAATATGCCCTTCTTTCTTCTCTTACCCTTCATAAATTTGCTCACACAAATAGCAGTAGTTGGACTAACTGTCCATGTAACGATGCTTGCATCATGGACTCTGAGTGCAAGGAATGAGAAAGAGAAATCCTGGTGTGCAGTTGCACCTGCTGAAACCAACACAAGCCTAGGGGCCAAGCAAAATCTCTCCTCACTTGCTCTGAAGACCTCCAGAAACTATTGGGCTGCTAATAACTGAATTAACACTTAAATGAGATTCTGCTCCCGATGCTTTGTCACCACTGAGGTGTGCGCACAGACTCAGCTATTCCACACTGCTAGCAGTACAGGTTTGCCATCTGGACATCTTCCCACACCTGACTCCCTGGTCTCTCGATAGCCATAAAACCAGGCTCACCGCCTTACATTCTGCATCTTGCCAGAGCAGACTGCTTTATCTAATTTAAGCGGAGCTAAAAAGTCACACTAAAATAAGAGAACAAAAAAACCCTGTGTGCCCCCATCCTCAGCCTTGCTATTCAGCCAGCTGTGTTTTCTTGTTACTGGAGGGATCTCCAGAATTTCACTGGGGAACCTCAGAATAAGTATTGCAAGCAATTACAGCTAAAATTTTGTTATTACTAAAGCACTTTGTTACATCATTACTGTCATCATCAAGCCTTAGAGGAACGCTGAGAAGTTATGATCTTGTTTCTCCTGCTCCTTAAACATCCAAATATCCTCAGCATTGTCACCATCCTCTGTGGTAAACTGCACTTGTCTCACCTAACCTGGATTTCCTCTGCTCAGG